ATGGATAGAAAAATAATTCAAAAGACCAAAATAAGAAGAGAAGTGGTTCTCTTCTAAGGGATTTGGGAACTCAAGAGAGGTGATTCTCTTCTAAAGCCAAAATTTATATTAAAACAATTGGTGAGAGCTTATGGGGGACTCTCACCATTGGAGATGCTCTTAATTACTCTCTAACTACTAATAACAACTCTTCTTATTGGCCTCTCATTTTCTTAATCTTTTTGTAATCACAATATGTAAATTATTATTTTGAAGTCTTAATCAACCGAATAATATTCGATAGGTCCAAGCACGTGTACAGGTTGGTCCATATTTGCTACGTACGTGTGCCAAGCTATAATACAGGACGTGTAGAATCTTTTATATAGTTTTCCATTCCATGACAAGATTATAAGTAGTCTCTCTCATTTTTTTCTTTCTAAATCAATACATTGTTATCTTTATATCCATGAACCTTTCGCGTCATATTTGATATGTAATATATATGTAATATAGCGATAAAGACAGTTTTCGGTTTCATGTGGCTCTTAAGGAGATTATATTTATTTTTTAAAACGTTTTTATACTTATTTCAATGTGGAAAAAGATGATTGAACATAATTTGTGGAAACTATTAGATATATTTTCGTAGGTGGGAGATTGGAAGCTGAAATCTATATTACTTCGTAGAGTATGTTTAATGTGAATTCCGCTGTAATAAAAAGATTGTGCATCTAACGAAATCACACTAGACCACTAGAATTATAAATACTAAACAAAAAAATTTGAAGTTTTGTGAATGTAAAATGTTATTTTATAATAAGTGAAGTTCCGCGGGGTTTTGCACAAGATATGTATGAGCTCGATGACGTACGTGGGAATGATAGAAATCTTTCTAAGAAATGGAATATTTGCATTTTGCAGTTCATGTATAATTTGTAATAGAATATACGAGAAGAAACAAAATAAAATATCAAAAAGGATATTTGACTATATTACACACCACATGGGTACACATTTTAATATTAATGGTTTCTAATCTCTCAATGGGAAATCTTGATATGTATATTACGATTGACGAAAAAAAGAGAGTTTGTTAGAGATTCTTATCAAAGATATTTTCTCATTATTTTGTAAAATGTTTGTACAACGTTTATATACAAGAGGTCTAGAGCTATACAAGGTTAAGTTAAACCGAAAGACTAAACCAATAAAACCGAGAAACATAAGTTGATAGGCCCCTTCAAAATGAGTTTACGAAGATATTGAAAATGCTCATCTTGGACTTAAGATGTTCAAACTGATATGGGAACATATGTTTAGTTAAAATGTCAGCCATCTGATCGTCAGTACGCACATGAAACAATTTGAGCTGTCCATTATCCAGTTTTTCCCTAACAATATAGCAGTCAATTTCGATATGCTTCGTCCTCTCGTGAAAGACATGATTGGTGGCGATGTAAAAGCTTTACTGTTTGAATTCAAGACATGAACTGATGAAGTAGCCTTTAAAAAATCAGTAAAGTTTGTAGCTAGACTAGTTCACAAGTAGCAAGAGCTAATGCTCTATATTCAACCTTTACAGATTATTTAGAGATAACATGTTACTTCTTAGACTTCCAGGATATTAAGAAATCACCAACAAACATATTGAAACTAGTTGTAGAGCGTCGACTGTTAGAACATGAGGCTCAATCCAAATCTTCAAACCCTTTAAGAATAAGATCTGAGGATGCAGAGTAGAATAAACTTTGACCAACAATACCTTAAAATCTATATTATTTCGTAGAGTATGTTTAAAGTGAATTGCGCTGTAATAAAAAGATTGTGCATCTAATAGAGTTATAAATACTAAACAAAAAATTTGGAGTTTTGTGAATGTAAAATGTTACTCCCTTTGTTCTAAATTATATAATGTTTAAGCTTTTTTTCTTATTCCATAATATAAGATTTTCTCAGATTTTTATGTATAATTTATGTTATTTAGTTTATTTATGATCTTTTGAATTCTGCTGTTTTTTTTTATTGGTTAAATTTTTATAAATAAATAAATATTTATTATTTCTTAATCTTAGTACTTTTAACAAAAACATATAATAATTTAGAATAGAAGGAGTATTCTATAACAAGTGAAGTTCCGCGGGGTTTTGCACAAGATATGTATGAGCTCGATGACGTACGTGGGAATGATAGAAATCTTTCTAAAATATGGAATATTTGCATTCTCCAATTCATGTATAATTTATAATAAAATGCGAGAAGAAACAAAATAAAATATCAAAAAGGACATTTGACTATATTACACACCACATGGGTACACATTTTATTATTAATGCATGGTTTCTAATCTCTCCATGGGAAATCTTGGTAGTATGTATGCTTAATTAAATTTAGTTTGTTGCAATGGTAGAAAAATAACACTTGTAGTTATGGTACACATTAATTGATGCATCTTATTCTTCTAATAAAACCCGTGGAAATCTCGATCAAACATAATTAATCCACAATCAATCTATGAAATAAATGACAGCTCATGGTTATAATCTTACACCTATTAGACAGATAGAAATTGCAAAAATTTCTAGAGTTATAAATCCATATATATAATATTTATTTATTAGAATGCCTACTTTTATATGTTTTTGATTCAAATCATCTTAGAACATGCAATGTTACATATATACTCATAGTCAACAGTAGCCAGTGTCACATGGCTACCAATCCTAGCTTTTTGAATGTTGAATATCGTTTATTATTATTATTTAACTTATATTAGTATAATACTACAAAATATTTAGTTTGTCAATTTGCAAAAACAAAAATCTAATATAATATAGAAAATCATTTATACAATAAGTACAATATATTCTTGTTTTCAATAGCAAGCAAGGAGCAGCAAGAGCCTTGAGAGTGTCAACAAAGAAGAGAGAACAAACAAACAAAAGGAAGCAGATAGAAATTAATTAATTAAAAATGAAAGAAGAGAAATTTAAAGGTGTCTCCATCAATCAATAACAAAGCAAATTATCTTTCCAAATATTCCATCGTATATTACCACTTCGGCTTTTTCGATGCCAAACCATTAATCTCGCGCCTTGAGACATGTAACTTGTATATGTATATACTATAAGTCTATAATAGTACACATCGAATTTTATTGCTTTATTTTTATCTAAGCATTTTCAAATGTAGTGAATAGTAATACTAGTATTATTCGTACACTACAAATAAAACGGGTGGTTTCTTTTTTTTTTTTTGGTGTGTGTGTGAAGTTTGTATTGATTGTACAAAAAAAAATATTTCTTACGTTTTATACATTGGTTTTGTTTATCTATGTAGATTTAAGAGTATTTTTTTTTTTAATCATATACTTATTGATATAAAGAAAGAATACATATCAATGGGAATTTTAGGTATTTATCTTTTGTCTGTTTTTTTAACAAAGCCTACAATAAATTTTGATTTTTACAAAACACAACAATAAGATGCTTATGCAAACACGAATTTTGTCGGAAATAACCCAGAGTATTTTGTATCGTACGATTCTTCTTTGAATGGCCAAGACCCAAGAGACATGGCATGAAAACTAAATAAAATATAAAGGTAATATATAGAATGCAATTAATACAATTGAGAGTAATTAGTTGTCTTTATCTCTCTTCAATTCTCAAAAGATAATCCAATTTTCCTTTTGGAGCGACTTTGTTGTTCAAACAAGAATCCTCATGACAAAACCGCAGTTGCTTTCTCAGTCAACTTTTCAAATCTGAGGCTTTGAAGGTTTTGCAGTAAAATATTAAATACAAACTCTGTTGTTATCTCCATCAAACCCTAAGAGGCAGAGACCTTTTAAAAGCCTATTTTCTTGCATTGGAAATTTAAAGTGTTTTATTTTATTTATTAAAAAATAGTAAACATGCACATCATAGGGTACTCATTATCTAATTATCACATTCAGTCTTTCTCTCTGTGCTTGTTTTCACCTTTTTAACCACTAATCAGATCTAGGTTGTCATAAGTCTTCCAACTTTTTTACTCTTTTGTTGTTTCTTAAATTATTATTCTTGGGGTAAAAATAAATTATTTATTAATTGTTTTCGCCAGGTGCACTTCATTTAGCTTTTTAGCTACAGCACCACAATACTCTCACAATTCCAACTATACTCCTATATTGAAATATAAGCAGTCTCTCTCTTTTTCCTTCCATCCTTTTTAATGCTTTGTTAGTTTTTGATGAAAGTTGAGAATTCGAATCCCTAATAATCGAGTTGGGAATCAAAAAAATTTTACTTCATTTTCTTTAGGATTGGTTTTTTTTTTTTTGTGAAGCCTTCAGGATTGCTAAACGGAAAAAGCATGAATAAATAAAAAATTTACGAAAACGATAGAAAACACATAACGTTTTACAAGTGTATGACATTCGATATGAACAATTCCTACATCTCGACAATATTGATAGATATTAAAATTCTTTTTAAGCAATATATATATCCATGAATGTTATCTAGTAATCAAACATCAAGTAAAACAATTAACGCTTTTTTTTTTGAGTTTTGACAACAAGCTTTGGTATATGTAAATAATTTCTCATTTCTATTTTTTTTTATTTAAATTTGGTTATTACATAGATTGTAATTTGTTAGTAAGTAAACTAAAAAGTTACAATGTTTTTCTACGTGGGGACTAACATTTTGTAGTACTACGAATCTACGATAAGAGTTCGCTATATAGTTCTCAGAATAAGGGTTAAGGTATTGTAGAAAATTGTTTTGTTGAAAATATATATTTTCAAACATTAAATAAATAAAAAAGAGAGTAAAATATTATTTAATAAAATAATGACAAGGATTGAGAAATAAATACCCACTTCTTTCCTTTTCTTTTTTTTTCTCCCTCAGTAAAAGTGTTGTTTCTGCAGACCTCTCTCTCTCACTCTCTCTTTTTCTCTTTCCACACATTCTTGATCTCCACTATTTAAATAGACAAGGATTATAAAGAAAATAGTGAGAGATGATGATGTTAGAGTCAAGAAACACTATGAGAGCTTCAAACTCAGTCCCAGATCTGTCTCTTCAAATCAGTCTTCCTAACTCTCACGCCGGAAAATCTCTTCACGGCGGTGACCGGAGCTCCACAAGCAGTGACTCAGGAAGCAGCCTCAGTGAGTTAAGCCATGAGAACAACTTCTTCAACAAACCTCTCTTGAGCTTAGGCTTTGATCATCATCATCATCATCATCAAAGGCACTCAAACATGTTCCAACCTCAAATCTACGGTCGAGATTTCAAGAGAAGCTCATCATCAATGGTTGGTCTTAAACGAAGCATTAGAGCTCCAAGAATGCGATGGACTTCTACTCTTCATGCTCATTTCGTCCATGCTGTTCAACTTCTTGGCGGCCATGAAAGTATGTATTGTCCGCTTACATTTTCCTTTTCTAACCAAAAAAAAAAAATTAAGAAAGACATAACCAAGATTTATGTCTTAGTAACGTTTTGAAACGAAAGTATTAAGATTTGTCGTGTATTGGTTGGTCTCAGGAGCAACGCCTAAATCAGTGTTGGAGTTGATGAATGTGAAGGATCTAACCCTAGCTCATGTCAAGAGTCATTTGCAGGTCCATTTCTAATTTTTTTTCCTTCTTTTAAAAAAAACTTTCTAAAAAATATTAATGGAATCTCGTAAGAATGCACACACATATGCATATAGGTGTATGTAAATATTTATAAAACTGTATCTATTTTGGGCCACTATATAACACATGATTGCATAGTTGAAATAAGCTTAGACAAACATTTATTTTTATTTTTTCTTCCTTTGTTTTTGATTTTCCAAGAATGTGTGATTGTTAATGCAGATGTATAGAACAGTGAAATGCACTGATAAAGGATCATCAGGTATGCATTCAAAGTGGTTTCACTGATTTTTGTATTCCTATTGGATATAAATGTATATAGAATTTCATTTTTTTTTAATATAAAATTTGTCTTTTTATTCTTGGGAATAAATAGGAGAAGGAAAGGTAGAGAAAGAGGCAGAGCAGAGGATAGAGGACAATAATAATAATGAAGAAGCTGATGAAGGAACTGACACAAATTCGCCAAACTCATCAACTGTGCAAAAGACCCAAAGGTTACTTTTTAATTAATTACTTTTTTTTTTTTTTTTGGTAAAACTTTGCATTTAGTCTCTTTTTGTCTTAGTTCTGTGTGAATTTTGATGAATATGACCCTCTCCTAGGGCTTATGTGAATGTACTTTCCATCTCTCATTAAATCCGTTAAGGTCTTTTTGGTTTTATTCTAAATAGAAAAGATTTAAATTTTCTTAGTTAATTTGTATATTTACATTAATTGATGATGATATAGAAGTAGGTCCAAATACAATATTTTTTGTATGTACATATGAATGGTATAACTAGTAACAAGAAAGACTTATAGGGTCCAACAATATGAGTTATAAATAGATCTCTCAAATGTGTTTTATTAAAATTTGACAGAGCTCCATGGTCATCCACAAAGGGAGTACCTAGGAGCATATCTACACAAGCAGATCCTCATTTGGGAACAACTCATCACACTAAGGTACATTATTGATTGCATGGAAACCCGGAACCGAATGGTAACAATGGTACACTTCCTTATGGTCCTAAAATGTGTAATCTTTTGAAAATAGGAAAACGAGGAGAAAGAGGCGACCAACATTCATCTCAATTTGGAATTCACATTGGGACGGCCGAGTTGGGGGATGGACTATGCGGAACCCTCCAGCGATTTAACCCTTCTCAAGTGCTAATTGCCTAACTTGGAAAGCTACAACAAATAAGTCAGCTTAGATTACCAGTTTTAACATAATATATTTAACTTGTTTTGATCATATGAGCTTTGGAAGAATCATATTATCATCATATATGAACTTCTTGCAAGAATGTTCAATGAGTTTTTTGATATGTATAATTAAGAAAATCGATTTAAGTAGTAAGTTGTTGTAGTGGATGAGAAGGGAGTACAAGTTCAAGTAGAGATAACTTTTTTTTTTGTTGTTGCAATCTTCAAAAAAACATCTCAATCTTCCATTATCACACTTTAATATAAATTGGAAAAGATTCTCTGGTAACTAAAAAGTTTCTGCTGCCTCTTTCCTCTTTTGGTATGCTCCACTGCTCCCACTCTGGTATATATGGAGAGTTTTTTTTTTGTAACATGGTCAATTGTGTTTTTTACTTGTTCCACAGAAGTAAAATCTATAGTTTTAATAAATTATTTGATTTTATTGAATAATGGGTCAACAAAATATGTAGTCGAAAATGATATCATGCTCATGGAATATATATATTTTCTTCATTTATTGATATGTGAATGCATATTTTTATTATACAAAAGAAGATATGATCTTTGGTCTTGATCGGTAGCTTTGTTACGTAAGGCCAACAGCGACCTTGACTTCTTTCAGAACTTCGGGTTTCGTTCCTCATGGACACTTGTGCTCATCAAATACCTTGGAGTAGTAATCATAATGATTAAAATAATTAAAAGGTGAAATTGAATATCTAGTGGAGAGGATAAACTCATATCTAGTGGCCCAATTCTATCTGGATCGGGAGAAGTCCACTCTGTAGCACCTCGGTGCGTTCCTACCGAGGCCGACCGGATCAGCCGATAGGATTTATCAAAAAAAAAAAAAAAAAAAAAAAATTGAGTTTTGAAATTCTCTAATTTTCCCTAAACTGTCTTACTTTTCGATGAAACGGAAATCTAAAAGATATATTTGAAGGTTACAACAAACAAAAAGTATATCATTAATACATTAATATAGCAATTACATGTGAATTAGACACGTGGAATTAAACACACCAGTTACGTCACCTACTTAAAAATATGTAACCAATGAACAAGTTGGGTTAACATAAATATTCACTCTCATGTGGTATTGGCCATTCCAATATAGCAGCAATGACTTTCAAATTTCCTTCATATAATTTTTCTATAAATAAGTTTTTTTGGTGAGTTTTCTATAAATAAGTTTGAGACTTGGTTTATGCTCTTTTGACAATATTTCTTTTCGCTGGCTCATCTTGATTTATTTTGAATATATATATATATATATTATATTTTTTTTATTTAGAATTTTAAATTTCCATTTTATTTTAAAAGAAGAAGTCTTAATATATAGGCCCACCATTGACCCATTAAGTTGGCTTTAAAGACAAACTCTAGAAAACATAAATAACCTTGTATATGAAACATAAAAATTAGTAAGGTTTATGGCTTCTTGCATCGTCAATCGGTATGTAAAAAGAACTATCTGATTTTCGTGCAAAGAAGCATACAAAATATATACTTAAACCAATTTCTTTTCCATAAACATGACAAGATAGATACTAAGTTAACAGAAAACGAATATAAAACCACTCTCAAGTAAAAACAACCAATGTATTAACGTATTCAACAAATTATTATAAAGGGGAAAGAGAGAGAGAAAAGTTCATCATCAGTTTTTCTTCATCTTCAATTCTGAAGCAGTGATTTGAAAAATAATAAATTACATAAGCTAAAGAATTTTTTGTTTTTGATCAAAAAGCTCAAAACCTTAATATAAATGGCAAAATCAAAACAAAACACAATGGAATAAGTGGAACTATACCGTCAGGAGAGATGTCATATATCGAATTCTTATAGGTTGTGTTTAGGAAGAACGTTACTTTATTATATATGATAAAAACAAAGAAAATATACAAACTAATGTGTGAATATAATGGTATAATAATATTGAGTGAATATAGAGAATTGTGTATTTAGTTTAGAGAGGTATGACACATATCAAAAGGAGAAATGTCACATGTTAATTTAGAGCCTGTGTTTAGGCCTAATCTTACTTTATATATAAGATATATCGAAAACTTCGTAATCACTACATTTCTAAGCTTCTATTTTCTAAGAGTATTGTAAGTGTAAAAAATTTTCTTTTATTCTTGTTGTGTCAACTAAGGAAAATATATGTTTAGTTATTTATATGATACATTAATTCAAACAAAAAATATTAGCCCACAAGTTAATCTATGACTCACTAAAACTATTTCAAGTAATTTACCAATTCAATTAAACTCAATCATCTAAATCAGTTATTTCAAAAGCCTAAAAGATAGCTCAAACGCATATAAAATTAAATTAAGTTAAGCCAATATGAATTAATAACTTGACACCTCTATATGTAGCTATTAAATAGTATTGTTGTTTGACTTATTAAAGCCAGAAAACATTTGTACGAATATTGTTATGAAAATTATTTTGGTTTGTTTGTCGAAGTGATTATTCAATATTTTTACTTATTGATTTTTTCAAATACATGGCTAACAACAGTGCGATCACTCTGGTAAAATATTTCCTTTAACAGTTTCTCTCTCTTCTCTCTCTCGTATTTTTTAGAGAGAGAAACTGAATTTCTTTTTGTCTTTGCCGACCGGATGGTTTTCCGGTGAATCGCCGTCCCGTTTGAATCGGGCTTTCGTCCGACATCTTCCGGCTACGATAGTGGTGATGGTCGGCTTTCGTCTGGCAGCGCTCGGCTAACATAGCGGCGTTGGCTGGCTTCCGTGCGGCAGCGTTCGGCTAACACTAGCGGCGTTGGTCGTCTTTGTTTTTGTTTTGTTGCTTCAAAGGCTTGATGATGAAGTTTATGGCATGCAGAATCGTCAGATCGGAAGAGGTTTTCTCTTTGCAAGATCTTTCCTCCTTCTGTTTTGTTTGGCTTCACTGTTGGGTTATGGTTTTCAGCTCTGGTAGTTTTCCGGCGATGTGTGCGTTTCCAACAATTAGCCTCGTTTGGATCTACCGTGTTTAAGACAGTCTCAATTTTATCCTCGCTTAAGGTTGGGTTAAAAGCTTGTTTCCTATGCAAATTTGATATGCCTTTTACTGCTCTTGCAAGAGATTTCGAAGATTCAATTGTTCGGCAAGTTTGAACTACTCAATTTTTCCTAGTTTCTTTTACCCGTTTTGCTGAATACTTTGTGATTCTAGCAACCGGATGAGATTAGGAGATTGATGTTTGTTCTATATCTTTTAATTGCCATAATCGGTGATAGAAAAAGAAGTTTCATTGATCGGTGCTTTTCCGGCGATGGTTCTCCGATTCACCAGACTTGAGTCTCATGCGGTGGAGGTTGTGGAATATCCACGTGTCCTTAGCTTATTACTATTGGTCTGACACGTCGTAAGCTTATCTCTTCTTTGGTGTCGTTGTGGACCTTATATGTGGGCTGTCTTGGGCCTTTTATGTTGTAACGTTGGTTTCGTTATAATAAAAATAAATCACCCAGTGAAAAAAAAAAAAAAACAGTGCGATCGATCAATATTTGGATATTTGTTATTCGATAATACCTTTTGGATTGCTTATTGAATGTGATTAGCATTGAAAATGAAATTTATTTTGGACGATGATAATAAGCAAGATCTAAAAATTCTTATGATGATATCTTCCATAGGTCTCTGCTATTACATATGCTTTTGCAATGGTAAGATAATGTGTCAGAGACTCAGAGTTTATTACTTATAAATATGCAAAGAAGAATCTTTCAATACATGCAAATGGAATAAAAATGTTAGAATTATTTATTCGACGGTTTAACTTTTTCAATAAAGATGTCGTAAAAACAAACAAAATTACGTAGAGAAAATTAATTTGTTGAAAAAACAAAATCTAGGACTACACAGTGCGTTGACGCCGTCGGTGAGGTCGATGTTGGTATAGAGAACGCGATTGCCGAAGGTGATGTCACTGTCCGTGTGGGCATAGTGAACGCCGGAATAATTACGAACATGAATTTGATAAGATAGAGCAATGAAGCATTCGGGGACGATCCACCGTCCCCGCGTACGGTTGAAGCCGTTGCTAATGAACTTGTCACCGAAATCGCGGGTGATAATTGAGAGCACCAGCATGAGATTATTGGAAGAGCACTGACAAATTTAAAGATGATTTATGAAGCCAAAAAACAAATTCTGATAAACGCGGAATCGGAGGAGGTGATAGTTAAACTCTCAGAGATGAAGATTTGAAGTGTTGTTTTTCTCTCAATTTTAATAAGTTTTTGATGTGTGACTCTGCCATAAATAATATGATTTATAACTTTGGCCCGGCCCTCTGTGGCAATATTTTCTTAAAAATGTATCTAGCTTATCTTTTAAAAAAAAAAAGAGAAAGAAAAAAAAAAACTGGCTCGCACAAATTTATTTGGATATTGATATGTGTTTTTTATTGGATGTTGAGGTATTTTAGATATTTATAATAAACTGGTTTAATTTTCTTTACGTTTTATATCAAAATTCATTATTTTGCTGTAAAAAAACAAAAATTCACTATTTTTTTACTCCGTAAATATATATTTGTTTCATTTTATTTGGATACATAAAAAATAATGTATTTTTAATATAATTATCTTTTATTAAATTCTGTTAAAAACCTTTAAACAGCTTTTTTAGGCAAATGGATTCCAACAATAACCCTTTTAATGCCCCAAATTTTACTAATTATCTTTTTTAATTAAGAAAATAAAACAAAAGTATATATTAAAAATATTTAACTCTTGATTATTTTAATTTAATTTTACTTGATAATTGTTATTTATATGTAATAGAAAAAACAATAAGAATATGAGATAAAATTGATGGGATAGGATGCTAAACTTTCGACTTGTTTGACTTTTTTTTTGTCGGTTTCTTCTTTTCTTGATTTTTTTTCCGTCAAACTATTTCATTGATTTTGAAAGATTACAAAGTGACCAGAGCCCAACTACACAACAGTAAAAACCCAACAATAAACCCAACCATAATTTGCAACAATATTGGTTTGTGATTGAAATGGAGTTTTGATGACTTTAATAAAATCATAGAAAGTGAAAAAGTGAAAGATTTAGAAGAATTGTTAGAGAGTTTTCAATAGTCTCCCAAACAATCTCAATATTTCAATCATACTTTCCATGACTTTATTTTGTAAAGAAAAGTGTACAAAATCATAAACCAATAACACAATAATTAAAGTCATTAACAATCATAGATTGTTTTGTTTTAGTTGAATAACACAAAATTTTTAATGACTTTATAAAACTCTTAATCCAATAACACCATATTCATTAGGATTTTAAATGATTTTTTACAAGTCACAAACTAATAACACCAAATTTTAAGAGAGTTTAACAAAATCTTGATCGAATAACAACAGATTCTACATAACAATTAAAGTCATTAAAACTCTATTTAAATCACAAACCAATAACACCCCCTAAGTTTTGCGCAAAAAAAAAGGAGAAAATAAACACGTGTTTGTGCATGTTGAGACTTGAAAGGCGCAAGTGACTCATCTCCGCAGAGTTGTAACTAGGCCTCGGCATATGGATAATCCGTTCGAACCTGATCGGATTAAGATCTGATGGGTATTAAATTTAATACCTAATATGGTAATTCTAAACATTCGGTTTTGTTTTGGATTGGCTTTTGTTGAATTCGGATTCGTTCGGATAAAAAATTTCTAACTCTATAAATACTCAAAAAATGAGTATCCGTTGGATTCGGATATTTTGTTCCTAAATTATCGGGTACCCAAAAAAAAACTCTTGAAGTTTTGTGAAATTGAAATAAATTTAGTTATATTTGAATAAATTTGGCTAAATTTTGACAAAGATAACAAATAATTTATAAATAGTTTGGTTGTTTTTGAGTATTTAGGTCTAAAACTTATTGATATATTCAGATTTATATGCCCACAGGTAGCACAAAGCAAAACCCAATGAAGTAGTATGCTAATACCCATAACCCTAACCAACCCGATTTTTTGGGTCGGTTCCGGATCGGGTTTTCGGGTTCGGTTATTTTTTCCCAGCTTTAGTTGTAACCGGTGATGGATTTCGTCAGAACAACTACTTTCTCCGATCATCGACTCAAATCCTTTTGTCCAAATATCCGAGTATAAGAAGCAAATCCATTAGCCATCAGATTTCAGATCTATGAAATGCAAGAACTCGCGACGAGGCGAGAGGTCATATCGGTCGCAAAATACGCTCTCTCAAACTGTTTTATGCTGGCCACTAAGCTCCATTCAACACATTTTTCGATTTTAAAGTGAGGTCTTCAACGACAACTGATACTAGCACGAGTTTTCTCGACTTATAGGGGTGATATATCGACAGGCTTGTCAAGTCAAGGGCACGACATGAGTTGTTGAATTCTCGTGATAAAACACAAGCTTCTCTTCCTATGGAGGTACGGGTCTCATATAGCAATAGAGGTAATCATCTACACAAGCTTCTCTTCAAATCAGGCTCAGTTTGGGTAGCCTGGTTTAAGAGATCTGTCCTATCCGACAACCTCAGCAACTTCTGGACTCAAAAGCCAAACAACAAAAATACTTGGTTAACCAACAAGCTTTTAAAGATCAGAGAAGCAGCCTACCCGTGGATTAAGATGATTGTGGGCAATGGGAAAAACTGTCAGTTTTGGAGTGATCATTGGTGTAAATTGGGGAAAATGTCAACTTACCTTCAAGGAGAAGGGCCTATGCAGATAGGCATTCCGAGAGCCACACGACTAGCAGATTTATGGACGCAAGGGAGCTGGAGACTTCCTCCTGCAAGATCAGAAGCGCAAGTGAGTTTTCACATTGAACTATCGATAATACAACTATCAGAAGCATCAGACTCCTACCTTTGGTGGATTGATGACCAGTTAAAAGACAACCATTCCACTGGGAAAATATGCTTGGCTCTAAGGGAGAAATTGCCAACTGTACCATGGCATAACATCGTCTGGTTTTCAGGAGGAATACCCAAACACAAATTTCTCACTTGGCTATTTGTGTTGAATAGGTGTCCAACGCGTGACAGGTTGAGAAAATGGGGCTTGCAAGTTGATCCGAAGTGTTTGTTATGTGCTTCTGCAGATGAGAGTCGTGACCATCTTCTCTTTAACTGCTCTTTTAGTTGGATAATATGGAACATCATCTCTCGCCGATGTTCATTCACTCCTCATCGATCATGGTCGGCAACGTTACACAGTCTCACCAGCTTCAATGGATCACGCGTCTCCAAGAAGCTCCTCCTAATTGCTTGGCAAGCTACGATCTACACTTTATGGACTGAGAGAAACCATCGACTTCACCGCAACTGTTTCAAGCCAGCAGATCTCCTTCTTCGTCAGATTGATATTTTAGTGCGGAACAGAGCTTCAAGTTTGCGTGACTCAAATCCGGTGATTTCATCAACTCTACTACAACTTTGGTTCGCTGGATCTGAGGTGACAAACATGTGAAAAAGAAAAAAAGAAAGACCTAATTGCAGATGCAATTTGGGTGACGGCATCTCACGAAAAGCTTCACTACCAATCATTGATGGCAATATCGGTGGTGGTTTGGACTGGTTCTATTTTCCCAACCGAATTTCTGGTTCTATTACAACTATTGGTTCAAGTATCTGGTTCCTTCTAAACTATGGGTTACGTTTAATATTTTCTTCGTTTGGGCTTCCAAATTTGGGCCATTGGCTCTGTAAAACTTTCTTTCTCATGCTTTAAATTGAATATCTTTTAACAAAAAAAAAAAAAAAAAAAACTAGAGAAAAACATAGAAAAAAAAAGTTCTTATTTTATTTCATCGTAAAAAATAAAGATGGTTTATTGCAGAAAGTGGCTTTATAGGCGATTTACAAGAGAAAAAAAAAGATAAAACAAAATTACAAAAAAAAAAAAACCAAAAACTTATTCTAGAGTTTATTGCAAAATTTTAGGGGGTGTTATTCGTTAGTGGATATTAATAGAGTCTAACTCTAACTCAAACTAATGTTATTGGTTCTCAGATTGTAAATACAGATTTCAAATCAAGTGTTATTGGTTCTCAGATTTCTAATGTCTATATTAAAAGAGTTTAAAATCAAGTGTTATTGGTTCTCATATTTCTAATATCTATATTAAAAGAGTTTTTTATAGTTTTTAATTTTTATTTTTTTAAGGTTGTTTTCACGTTGCATTTTTTGAAGTTTATTTGTATTTTCTTTATTTTTAAAGTTTTAATTTGAAATCACCAAATTTTTATGAATAAATTCTTTAGCATATTTTTTTTGTTAAAACTTCAAAACATTAGAAAAACTTGAAATAAGAAAAGGAAAAAATGGTCAAAAGTTTTGTTGGACTTCGATTAGATTATAAAAATCATTTGTTATTGAATTCAGTTCTGTTATAGAAAACCAAATGAGATCACGTATCATTGAAAATACACTTCCATGTATTTGACAAAATGAATAATGGTTCACTTTCAATGAACCCAAAACATTTGAAATATGATAGACTTTAACTCTAATGGAGTTGACTTTAACTCTAATGGAGTTGACTTTAACTTTACTAACGAATAACACCCAGTTAATGTAATTAACCTAAAAAAACTATAACTGCGCAAATCAGAAAAGGAAATAATTCAAAAACTTACCTTGGCTGAAAAAGAAAGTCTTGAGCTTTGCCACTCTTTGTTCCTGGACGCTTTCTTGACATTCATGTATCCTCTATGTTGGCGATTGGTGACAAATAAATTTTTGGTTTAGGCAATCATAGGAAGAAGTGACCAAGCCTTGTCCTTGAACCGATATGGACCCAGTTTGAGAGAAAAGGATGGGATCCGACCATCTTTGAATTCAGCCCGTAAAAAAGCATAAGTAGTTCGTTCGTTCTAATTGATTTTTAGGTGGAATTATTTTTCGATAGAAATGATTTCTTTTCTTTGTTCTCCATCATTAGCTTCCTCAACTAGAAGTGGTGGCATTTCTTTGGTGAAAGAGGTGTCTCGACAGTCTCCCAATCTAGCTCGGAAATGAGCATAAGTGACTCGATCAAAGTGACTTTTATTACTAATACGGTTCACTAGAGTTACTATCGAAGAAAGAAGAAATGCAATGTCGTGGCAGGTTATGTGGCACTCGTCAAAGAGTAAAGCAGGATCTCGAGTCCAAACAGAGGGTTTGACTTCTTGAGTGAATAAATTGACCCGTTGCTCATCACTTTCTTTTCATGCTTTTGTTGTGAGTTGTTCAGAGGCAAGCATGCGTGCTTGGGAGGTGATCGCTATGAGATCAACCTGAGGATTGTTGTTATCGTTTGTAACTTGTGATTGCAAAACGATTGTTTTCAACCCGAGAACTATTCTAGTTTTATTGTTGTCTCTGGGTTTAAGGTTTACAAATCTATCTTAACCTAAACAATTACATTTCCCCATTATCATCTACTCACTGTACACACTAGTAGCAGATGATCAACATAGATCTGCAGTCTAATGCACAATATTAGTGGTCGGGACAGTTTAGATCTAAAGATCGCTATTTAGGAACTCCAAAGTGCACCTCTTGAACCTCTAGAGTCTTAAGGTGCGAACCAAAAAACACAGAGCTTGAAGAATGAATTAGAGACACACATAGAGAGCTCAGAAGAAGACAATCAAATAGATTTCACTTTTTTTTTTTTTTGCTCTTGGCAGGCCTTCGGCCTATAAATCCCATTTCTTTCTATAATATATATTCGAATACATATTGCATTTTCTTTCACTCGAAAGACAGACAAAGACATTCTAATTCACCTACAGGTGGGTTAAGGCAAGACACCTAACTTACGTCCCCTCATACACCCTAGAAAAATTACAGCTTGCAAAATAATACTCTGCCTCACTATCTACCTTGTACACACAAATCTTTCTTTCGCCCAGACGAATTGTTCCTAGTTAACTTGCTACTAATCTACTCCACAAACGACTAAACAATGGTGATCTGATTTCGCCAGATCCCGTACATTCAGCATCGCCTTCTTCCGCTGTGCTGAAAAGGGTTTGGTCTGAGCAGTCTAAGGAAGCCCCACACGCCATATTATAGGACTGACAAGCTGAATGGCATACCCGTAGTCTATCGTCTCCATCGATATCACACTTCTGGATCGATATCTGGTTCAGAGAGATTATAAATAACACATGTCAATTATCAGAGAAAATGCTAGTGTCTCACCAATAAAGATGGGGAAGCTTAGAGAATTATACAAATCCAAAGAGATTTTTACTCACCCAACAGGCTAGTCTTTTAGCTGCTTCATCACAATAGCTGTTACCGAAAATGTTAAATAACTTCCGAGCCCCGCCCGGAAAGAGCCTATTGTAGTTAGGCATGACCACAACTTCCTCAAGCTGCTGAAGTATGCTAGGCTCTCTTGGAGCACAATGTTGCCCTGACATGTCTCTCTCCAACACATCTTTGCACACCAGTAAACTCGTAACTAGTTTAGAGCTGTTCTGACATGTGTAGCCAGCATAATCAGAGCAACGGAACTCGCAAACCCCATTATCACACACTCCTCCATGTAGGCTGCATTGTTCGTCGCACACAGCTGTATAGTTGAAAAGAACTTTGTTGTCAGATTTAAGATTAATATGTATTCTTGACACAATCTATATAAATCTGGATATTTACCAGTGGAACAGTCGATTCCAGTAAATCCATTTTCACATATGCATACACCCTGAGTTGTGCATTTTCCATGCCCATTGCAATTATTAGGACATGAACCTTCATGGTTAAAAGCATAAGTTGTAAGTTCAGATCGTAGGGAAAGATAGAGACTTGACAAGCAACACTTTAGTGCGAATAATACAGGATACTTACGGTTTCTACAGTCATGACCGTGATAACCAAGGAGACAACGACACTTCCCATCAACACAATCTCCATTAAAGTTACAAGAATTAGGACATTGACCAAGCACAGAAACTACGGATGTACTGCAGAGTTCATGGTATGCCGGACAAATCAATTCACCTACAAACCAAAATATTCATGGTTCAAAAAATTTGGTAACAATATGTTATTATCCTTTCAGGAAGAGAAAGGGCATTTTTTACCATTAAAACCGGGAAATCGAATTGGTCCTCCAGCTTGAGGGCAGAACTTCCATACTCCCTCCACAGCAATCTAAAAGAATTCGACCAGGAAAACATTACTAGTGAAGCCATTAATAAGCATAAAAAAACAGGATGTCCTCATCTCCATGGATCAAAGTAGAAGCAAGTTGAAATAGGACAGATGACTAATTACTTGTGTTGTTTCTGAGCTGCTGTCCAATTATAACACCTTATGCCCAAAAGTAAAAAAAAAAAAATGAAACCTTAGGAGAAGGAAGAAGATATAGAAGGCATACCTCCAATAAATTATTTCTACATCTATGCTGATAACAACCATTCCCCTGTGTCATGGAACCCCGAACAAACCCAGTACGCACTAAAGATGAGGCCATACACCTATATATAAGCCAAACTCTTTCATGAGCTATATTCCATGTGTATATTTACAAACATTCAGTGAGAAAGTTAACCAGCAATAACCTGGATTCACTCCCTCTCACTTCACCCAACATTCTGTCAGGCGCTCGTGCACTATTAATATCTGTACAAGACCCATCTGAATAGGCAACAAAATATGTACAATAATCTGCTAAGGAAGACTGGCCGCCTGCAATATGTTGTGTATGAAATTCATTAGTATTTACTAAACAAGAAGCGAATACAGGATAGCAAATTACATACTATGCTTTCCAGATATTACAACCAAGAGAAGAGAAAATCATATTTTGCGAATCAAATCAACATGTTGAAGCAGGTAACAACTTAGGAATATATCAGCATGAACCAAGTAATCAACATGACATACCTTTGTTAGGCTGTGGAAAGTAACGGGCCCATTGAGGCAAGTCTCCGTTATAGCTTAGAATTGGGCAGTAACCTTCAGCCTCTCTGTTGTATGTACAGCCAGATAGTTGGGTTGTGTTACAATGGTAAGCACCTTTCCACATGTTACATGGAGATGTAACAAACTGAGTCCCCTGGTTCCGGCCCCAATCGAGACGGTCTGCCATGCTATAATTAGCCTTATACCAGCCACTATCCTCTAAAAGCGCTAGAGTCATTTTTGAAACAACTGATCTTGTGTCCACTGATCCAGTCATTATCTCATTCATGAGTAGTCTCTTTTCCCAGTGGGAACCCGATGTGCCACGTCCTCCTCCATCCTCAAGTTCTAAACCCGAGAAGTTTTGAGAAAATGCCTGTTGAACATTTGACATTCTTATGACTACAGGACAAAACAAGGTCACAGGAATTGACTTGCAAAGATGCATTGATTTCTGAGAAGAAATTAATTAAAAATCATTGAAACTCACTCCATAATGATGCCGCGAATGCATGACAACCCGTGGAAGCACTACGCGTGTCACTAACCGGCCAAGCTTTTCATCCATTTGTTGCTCAGTGACCTTAAAACATGAAAAGAATGCTTATTCCAAGGTAAATCGAATAGAAAGTTCAGTGATCTCATCCACATGAAGAAGCAACAAACACACCAAAAAGAAAAGAAAAAGCCCAAGGTTTAATCACAGACATTTTCTCTGGATCAGGAGGACATTAGATACTCATCACATACCTCAGTGCGTCTTCTTTTCCTCTCATCTCTAAAATGAGCAAAGGCATGCGGATCAAAGCCAAGGACATGCATAACCTCATGAATGAGAGTTGCTGAAAGCAAAGTCCCAGATTCTGAAGTCAAATGGCGGGGAGCAACATTGACATGCCCTGAAAAAGACCATAACTCTTGGCTTTAGTTTAAAACTCCTGGATATGCAGGGATTTCAAAATATGGTAATCAACTGGGGGAGATGGACAGTTACCAGCAATTGCACGTCCCCACTGATCACGTTCACAAGCTACAGCCCACGCAAGGGTATTACCAGTAGTAGGTCTTGTAGTCACCAATAGAACTAAATCAGTATCAGCAATACCCTCTGTTTGATTTGAAAGAAACTGAATTAGACCAAACAAACCTAGCAACACAAGTCAATCAGAGAGTAAAACAGTAATGAGATTACCCTCCACATATTCACGAGGAAGCTGCACACCACCATCTTGCCCACAAGCAGAGTATCCACTTAACCGCAAATTCCCTTTCACAGGTTCAACAGCCAACGCTCTTCTGAACCAATCTGCAGTCTGCTCTAAAGCCTTCACGTGCAAAACTTATAAATCAATTCAACTGCGTGACCAGTAACACTCACTTATCTAAGAAACAAATGATCAAGTAAGTGAACCTTGCGTAGGCGATGCTTCTTGTCCTTGCCAGATATGTCATCTAAAGTGCAGTTATACCAACAATCACCAGAAACTGGAGGTTTCGCATTAGGATTACAAGCAGGAACAGCAGGAAAAGTACTTGAAGGAGGCTCACCCAACTGAATTCAGTAAAACAAATTAGTTCAGTAACTTACATTTCACTCTACTAAAAGCTACTGAGTATTACCAACCTTCACAATATCGCCAACTCGTTGGCAATCTCGGTCAAGTGAATGACCAACCGCATCATAATTCAAATAAATCCTAATAGGTTGTTTCACATCCTTCTCCTCATCAAAAACACTAAGCAACACCCTTCCATTATTAGGATACACTTTATCAACACTTCTCGGCTCATGATAAACCTGAGGAGTAACCGAATACACTTTCCGCCCCGGTCTCTTCCTCTGTTCTATAATCTGATCATGTATACACGAATGTGATGATACTCCATCAACTCCACTTTCCACACCTTCCAATGCTATTCGATGATGACGATGCCTAGCTTTCGCATCAGACGCTCCCAACCACAACAGAATCAACAAAACCTAAAACAAAAAAAAATGTAACAGATCTGCAATTTTGCTTAAAAGGGAAAGTTACAATAGAAAAAGGAAAACAGAGATCTGATTCTATTGCTCGTAGCTAATATCTCGATAAATGTATGTAAGTAACAACAATCAAGCTCAAATTCCCAGAAACCCAAACAACATTTCAAAAAAAAAAAAAACGAAACCCAAAAACCCTAAATCCATAAAATCAAGAAAGAAAAAACCTTACCCAGTAACAAGAACGAACTAAAAGCTCCATGAAATTCCCAGAAACAGCTTCACTTCCATCAAATCTCAATCAAACAAAGTGCATTTCATTTGCTTAAAACAGAGATTTAGCTCGAGATTTTGAAAAAAGTGAATCAGATAGAGCGAAGATTACTACTACTACTTGTTCAAGCTTTGAAAAATTCAATAATGGAGAGATAAGAGAGTTTAGGGTTTTTGAGGTAAGACTGATTCAAAAACAGGTGATCTAGATTTCAGCAACCTCAACAACAAAAAAGATTTTTTTTTTTTTTTTTTTTTTTTGCAATTTCTCTCTATTTGTACAAAAACAAGTGACACTAAAGGATGAGAGAGAGAGACAAATGGATTGGGTAGGAGTTGGTGGTAGGGTATAGGATATAATGTATAATTATTATTACTGTAATAATACATTTAAAGTGAGAATCAATATTTGGTGCAATTTGTGTATAATCTAGTTTTAAAATTTTAAAGATGCTAACTAGATCATCACCCGTACTAAAGTACGGGTTGAATTTTATTTATTACAAAATTTATATAATATATATATTAGAACTAAGTTTAAATATATTATAATAGTAAGTGAAAAAATATTAATTTTTTTGTCAGTCCCTATATACAATATTAGAATAAATATTGAATTTTTTTCTATAATACTCAATTACGGATAATTTTTTTTTTAAGATATGAAAACAGAAAATAATTTTATTTTTTAAAAAGTAATATTTTTTAACAATGAGTTAATTTATGTTAACAACCACAAAAAAGGATTGCATATATTTCAGTTAGATCAAAAATTAAAATATCATAAATGAATCGCATATAAAACATAGATTATTTGAATTATTTAAGAAAATTAGCTATTATTAATTTAGAAAATTCTTTTTCAATTTATAATTCTTTGGTTGTTGAAATAGAGATTTGTTTGAGCTAATCTAATTACAGAATTTGTTTGAGATTTATAATTACGGAATTTACCAATCATTCGCATAATCGAATATGTTATAGACATATATTTAGTATATAATAATACCAAAATCAACCCGTGCGTGGAGTCTATATTTTTATTTTAGAATCTCGATATTTCACTTTAAAATATTGCGTGCACAATCTATTATTCGTTAATTCTAAAATTGCTTGCGGAATCAAATTTTTAAATACTATTTTTAAATATTCCAAATTAAAATCTTTAAATTTTTTTGTAGTTTATAAAATTATGAATTTCAAAAAAAAATTATATGAAATTAAATATAACTATTCAAATAGTTATAAGGATCAAAACCCATTTCATCATATAATATATTATATTTAACCCGCTACCTATTATAAATATTTTTTAAAATAATCAAATTAGAGTATTTATAATTTTCAACTTTTTGAACTATTAAGTATTGATGATATTCTCTAAAAATATCAAGTAAAACTTATTTTAAATGTTGCAAATTAAAATATTTAAATTTTTATTGTAGTTTATAAAATTATACATTTCAAACAAATAAATGTATGAAATCGAATATAAATATTCAAATTCTGACCCGTTGCTCAGTCGGAATTTTGGTTGACTTTATTTTTGTGTAAAAGAAATATATTACTCAAGTCTAAATTTTTGACCCGTTTATTTGTTTCCTTTATAGATTGAACAATCTATATGCGTTTTAAAAAATTCAAATCTTGGCACATGCAGAAAAAAAATTACTTTTTTTTATTATGTAGATGATATGATGATTTATTTGTTTCATATTAATATAATCATATTAAGATGAGAGGTGAAGTTTAATGATTAATAACAAATTAATATGGTAAGTTAGATATCAAATCTTATATGTTCATTTTGATTGGTCATTTAAAAAAAAAAAAATAACAGATTTTCGTTTTTTAATTTAATTAAATTAATTAAATGACATAAATTAGTATTTTACTTATTTAACCTTAATAAATTGAATGAAATTTGTTCTAAAAGAAGATTTTTGTAATGGCATTCTTAAGTAAATTTTTACAAAAGGGAAGGTTAGTTAAGGGCATCTTATAAAGTGTACTCCCCAAATAATAGTATAGGATATTTTTGTATTTTTATGGTATTAAATACACACTTTACATTTGTTGAAAATTTGTAATCTAAATGATTTTTCCAATAGAAGAAAACTGTTGGGACATTCGCTGTCTTCAATCCACATCATCATCCTTATCTTAAAAAATAAAATCTGTTTCAAGTTTCTATATAAAACAATTTAAGCACTAACATAAATATTGGTTTGAATAAAAAACACTCTAAATCTTATACGTTTTGAACTCCAAAAATTTTGAAAAAATTCATTGATTTGAATCGTACATGAGTTTGGTAGATGGTTGAATCCGGACAAATCATAATGAAATTTTTTGGACTATGATAATTAAAATTAAATCAGATTATAATGCACATGAAGATGTGTCTTAGAGGGTAATTTGCAAGATTTTATAATAGCAGTTTATGAAATATGTCAACCCAGGTCAGCTAGCAGATGAGAAAATCAAGGTAAGAGACTGTGAGTAGTACTATAAAAGATTATATAATAAAATAAAGGGAGATTTACTCAGATGTTATACATTTTATATGAAACTACCAGAAACATACAGATCTTTTTTTTATTACTATCATATTTCGGGTATATTTTTTATACCCAGCGTGCCCCTGTTAAACGTTACAGGAAAAAACGTAATTACAAAGAATGCCACTGCCACGTCAGCAAAGCCGCGTCGCCACGTCAGAAATCGCTGACGTGTATTAATGAACTCAGCCGTCGAGCGATATAGCGGCAGTGACGGCTGAGTTACGGTATGTTGCGGCTGATTTAAGAAAAATGGCTGAGTTATGAGCAAACGGCTGACTTACGAGTATAACCCAGCTTGGAGTTACGGCTGACTTACTGAAATCTGTCTGAGTTATGATAAAATGGCTGACTTTCGAGCATAACCCAGCCTAAGTTACGGCTGAGTTTTCACCCGATGGTTGATTTGTCAAATTTTTGGCTGAATTATTGCTTCGACACGGCTGACTTAACTTTCTCCGGCTGGCTGAGTTATCAAAGACGGCTTAGTTATGGGATGACGTTACGGCTGATTTATGTTCGAGTATCATAAATCAGCCGTAATGAGCTGGATTAACGGAAAACTCGGCCTTATTATGGCTGACTTAGTAGCGAAAGATTAATTACTAGAATAGCATGCAATGACGGCCAACTTATTAAACGATACGACTGAGTTAAATATTTTTGGTTGAGTTACGACAGTAAACGGCTGAATTTGGCTGCCGTTTTTTCGTTTTTTAATTACTGTAATAGTATTCATGTTGCGGCTGAGTTAAAATTTTGTTTGATGGCTGGTTTAATTAAGCTGATTTACATTTTCGTTTGGTGGCTTACTTGCCACTTCATCAATTAAAAAATGACGTGGATGCAACATTCCATGTCATCATTCCATGTCATCATCATCAAAGGACAAAAAAATAGGGCCAAATTTTTTCAACTCGTCTTCTTCACCTGAGTTTATCACATCACCGGAACTTCCAATTCCTCATCGTCTTCCTCATTCTTCTTCAATTTCTTTCATCCTTCTCCCGATATGGTTGATCCGGTTCCGGTAATTGGGTATAAAAACACAAATACGTATTTAACACCGATGAAAGAGGGTGTAGAGTTGTGCAGATAGATGCGAAAAGGACAAATCTTGGGTTCACCCCTAGGGGTGAACCCCTTTGTTCACCTCCTTTTGTATTAGCCAATGAGATTATGACATGTAATACTCTATTTAAATAAAAATAAATAACTAAAATTTAATTAAGAAAAACAAAAAATGGAAACAAAATCCTAACGTCCGTACGTTGACGTCAATATTTGACGTCTTCCTTTTTTTTTTTAATAAAATATTTTATAAAGAGATTTAGATTAGGGTTAGAAATTATCTCTTTCTTTTATTTTTTTCAAACCAACACACCATCGACAATCTCTTATATCAAAACCTATTACTTATTATTAAATTTGTAGAAGATGATGCATAAGAAGATGGAGCCAATATCGATCTAAACTCTTAGAGGAAGGAAAATATATTGCTTTTAAAACATCAATTCGTCAGGTGAAGTTTCAGATTCTCTTATTACTTGTAAAAAAATATTTTTTAGTGGTGAATAAATAGAGACAACTAGCTATAATTGGTACATGTGTAAGTTTTTTTGTTAAATTTTTTTATGAATTGTGTTTTCCAGACCATCGTTTTCCCTATTGTTGGACTTGTTGATCCTGCAACATTGAAATCTCTGGAATTGGTGAAAGTCTCTGAATTAACGACCTTTAAACGCAAGGTAAAACACAAACATCAATTAAAAAGTATATATATGTGTATAATAATATTAAATGGTTAATGCAGATTGCAATGGAGAGTAGTCATATAAGTGAAGAAGTTTTAGTCGAGGAAGAAGATGACTTAATAAGTGAAGACGAAACTTTGGTTAATGAATTTGAAGAAGAAGATGAAATAGCCAACAACGAGGATGACGCTCAAACTGAAGAGGTTGCTGCTTTAGAAGCAAATAATGATAATGAGAAGAAAGATGAAATATATATTGGAATGGAGTTCAGTTCTGATGAAATTGCACATATAACTTATAAAAAGTATGGAGGCAATCATGGTTTCAATGTAAGAAAACAACGGAGGATGAAGAAAAAAAGAGAAGGTAGTAAGGCTTCTTTATGTTTGCTCAAAACAAGGGTACAGGAAAGAACCTAAGGTCATAAAATCTTATTCACAGCCAATCACACGGTGTGGTTGTAATGCTCATATGACTTGCTACCTTCAGAAGACCGGAAAATATAAGGTTGTGTCTTTCGAGCCGAACCATAACCATGATTTAGTGAGGACACCTATGAAACATTTGTTGAAGGGAAATCGGGTATTATCTATTTCTCAAAAACAACATGCAGATGATGCCGAGATGTCAGGGATTTCAGTAAAAGCAACCGTTGAAGTAGAGAAGTAGGAGGGCGAGTAAATCTGGGTTTTTTGAAGAAGGATTATCAAAATTACATATACCGAAAGCGAATGGCAAAAATGGAA